TAAACAAAAAGGGAGATTTTTAGAGATATACCAAACTTTGTGATTATAAAGATATTCAGAATGTTCTTAAGTAACATTTTCTAAATAAAATTTAAATTAAGTAATACTAACACTAATAGGATTAGGAATAATACTATTAATAAAAATAGGAACATTAAACACTGAAAACAATAAAACTCTATAGTGACTAGAACTTCAATAATACTCCTAAATAGTGCAATAATTTTATATTTTAAAAGTTGTAGTTTTAATCTACTTAGGCAATTCAAACTTAACTCATCCTGCTTCATTTTCCATTCGTTGGAGAAAGATCGCTACAAGTTTTGAAGTGGTGAATGAGATAAACGTGATCTTTATGCTCCCCAATGAAAACTAAACAGACTTGATGCTCTGTTAGTCTGTTTAATGCAGAAAATTGGAAACAACAATTGTTTAAAGTCGTAATCCTGGGTATAGGATGAAATCAACATACTCTCTCCTTGCGTTGAACTTTCATGCAGGGAGAGAGATCTTGGACAATAGGAACACATGGTGGTTCTTGCTTATCTATTTCAGAGTCTGCTGATATACAATTTGCTACTTACAAAACAGAGGTATTTACTTGTTCACTAGGAGCTAAACCATCATTCTCATAGTATAGATGGCCGTCGTCTTTTTCTTGCACCTCTTCCTTTTATTTCATTCCAAATGCAAGTTATCTTTTTTAGGCATTGGTAACATGTGTTCCATCTATCCACACCTGATACAAAGATATTCCTTACCTTTAGATGGAGTCTTGAAAATGGATGTTGATCTGGTCCTCAACTCATCTATTTAGGAATTTTGTGATACAAATGTGCTTTGTAATTTTGGATTTTTTTAATTGGTTAGATGAGTTTGGGTTGTCTGAATGTAGTATTTTGGGTATTTGGTACAAGAGCTTTTAACTTTGGTACCAATTAATGTAGGAAAAAATAGGGTTAGTTTGCTTATTTAGGAATTGTGGGATAAAAATTTAGATATTACAACTAGTGTTTGTTAGAATTACATCTAAAAAGTACCAAGTATCACGCTTAAAGGCATGACTGTATCATACAAGTAGAAAATTAAGAAACTTTCAAGATATTTTATTGAAAAATTTATGAAAGTATTTCTAATGTTTCCTAAGTAAATTTCTAATCTATTTAGCGAATCCAAAATAGAATGTTTTATATTTAAAAAAATTATAATTTCTAAACTATTTAGCTAATCTATACTTGAATCATTCTGCATCATGCCTTTCCATATCAAAAATACTAATAGGTTTAGGAAATAGATCTACTAATATAATAGATAAACTAAATGGTGAAAAGGAATAAAATCTTAAAAGAATTATAATTTCTTATTTATTTAGCGAATCCAGACTATAATGAATTTTACATTCAAAAAAAATTATAATTTCTAATCTATTTAGCTGATCTAGACTTGAACCATTCTGCATCATGCCTTTCCATATCTATCACTTAATTCTATTCTACTGCACAATGCGAGTATTAACTAAATTTCCTTATAGTTTATGCTTGTGTTATTTTCTAAGTCATAGTCTTATCAGAGTGACAGGGTACATGAAGAAGGGTTTCCATCTCAAAATGCTTTTTCTGGAGAAAGAAGAAGGAGCTTGCATGATGGAATTGATTCAGATGAGCCCACAAGAAATGCTGATTTGGATGATCAAGTTCAGGGCAGTTGTACTTTTAGCGGAAGGTTATACTCAGAGGGAAAGAGTGAAGTTACTCCACTATACCAAAGAGTATTATCTTCTCTAATTATGGAAGATGAAAGTTTAGAATATGAAGAAAACAGTGATGGAAGAAATATGTCTCTTCAGTACAATAAAAATAATTCTTCTAGTACTACAGGTGCCCCTGTTGACATTGAGACTGGAAAGAGTGATAGGATTGGATTAGAAAATGATTCCATGTTGGGACTTCAAGACCAGAAGCAATATCCTGTTAGTAGATCATTTTGTAATGGTAGTGTTTCCTTTGGTAGGATGACAAGCATTAAAAATGAATTATGTAGTGAAGATTATTTCAGAGGTGGTCATGGATGCATTAACTCAGAAATTGGGATGCTTCCAGAGCTCCACAGAAACTGCAATGGGCCATTATCTGTAGAAACAGAGTCTTCTGATGTATCTTCCTTTGATTGCCAGTATGAGAAAATATGTTTGGAAGATAAATTCATATTGGAACTGCAGAGTATCGGCATTTTTGTAGAACCAGTGGTAAGCTTTAATTTGAAGGTTAACCATATGCATACAGCATTGTTTTGGACTTAGTGAATTTCTTTTTTTCTCTTCTTTAGAAAAAAGTTTTTTGTTCATTTGTTTCTTCACTTCTTTCTATTTCCTCCATTTACTTTGAGGTTTGTTCATTATTTTTGAAATTTCTCTTTATGGTGTCCATGTTGGAGTTGCATGGTTTAAGATTTCTTCAGACATTTTCATGTGATTGCATTGGATGATGTAATTTTAGTACTCTCTTTCTCTCAATGTTTGAAATTGTTTTCTACTGACATTTTTTACCCCTTTTTCACCTTGTATGGTTGCTGCGTCACAGCCTGATCTGGCAGATGGGGAGGATGAAATGGTTGATCAAGAAATTATTAAACTTCAAAGGGGACTTCAGCAACAGGTTATCTATTATTTGTTAATGATAATAATAATTATTTTTATACTTCTTGATTTTAGATGATGTATTTTCCCTTATTTGAACATTTTATCAATAGGAATTAAGTTTAGTTTCTTGTGCAAGCAGTTCTTCTTTTATCTATTTTGGACTTTTCAGCAATCTTGTACTACCATGAGTTATTCTGATCAACCAGAAAAAACATGTGTCATGGTTTCTGCACATATATTTCCATGTGGTGTGCGTTTCCTCTGAGCTATGGGCTTTGACAGGGACCTTCATGCTCTCATTCCGTTGTCTGTCTTTTCGGTAGTGTACAGAGAGGGGAATATGAGGGCTTTTGAGGAATGTGTTTCTTTTAGCTAAATTAGAGATTGTTGATTCCAGATCCTTTATTTAATTGAAGGATCATTCTCTTTCTTTGGAAGAGAATTTTGGGTACTTGCTAGACTATTTGACTAACTTGTTGCCCATCTTTTTTTGTAGATAGGTTACACTCCTTTGGTGCCTAGTTTATGTTAGCTTTACTCTATGAAAAATTAGATTTTATTTTTCTTCTATGAAATGTTTCTTTTTTTTTTAACTTATATTTTGCTGATTTTATAGGTTGCTAAAAAGAATGAGAACTTGAATAAAATACTTAAAGCAATGGAAGAAGTAACAAATGTTAACGAACGGTACGGAAAACTTCAAGAATTCTCCTGATAGCATGATTCTAACTCTTCAGTTTAAGTATTGCATATATTATTTTCATTATTATTGTTGTTGTTATTATTGTTATTATTACTATTATTGTTATTATTATTATTATTTGAAATCCATTCAGGGTTAAGTAGTGTGTGATTTGCACAGGGTTGAGGAGGTTGCCATGAACAGACTTGTAGAGCTGGCTTACAGAAAGCGACTGGTAATTTAATACTGAATCCTTTTGCTTCTTTCTCCTTGTGTTGCTTATTAAAGAGAAAAATGATTAAACCAATGGAAAAAAAAAAAATTCAATCAAAGAAGCCTGAATTATTGTTTTTCATTTACCCGCAAACCTTTTCAGACTAGAAGGAGTTTTTCCTGTATTGATAAACCTGTAATTGATTGTTGGCAAGAAGTGGAAGAGGTGAATAGACAAAATTTGGATTGAATGATTATTTCAATCTTAGTTTGAATTGATCCTATGGGTATTGAGTGATATGGTTGATTTGATCTTTTCTTGAAGGTTTAAGCTAATAGTTATACTTTTTCTTCTAAAAAAAGGTTTAAGCTAATAGTAAAATTCCTAGTATATTACTTATACATTAATACAGCTCCTTAAGTGCAAGCCTGCTAAGTTAAATGCATAGATCAAGCATAGATCCAGTCTACTTTGTGCTGATTAATTGATGGAAATAGGGTGTATTAGGCTGTTGACTTGATACCATGTTAAATAATAGAATTTTAACCAGTTGTGCTCAAAACTTAAGCTAAGAGAAAATACACAACTTATTTTTAATATATTAACAAGAGGAATATAGTATAATGATGATTAGGGAGGTGGAGGTTAGCCTTTTTGTTGGAGAGAGAGGTGATTAGATTACAGAAACCCATTTGCACTTCTTCGCTTGTGATGCTTCTGGGTGGATATGTAGGAGTTTTGACGAAATGCGTGAATCTTTGATCTCACTAGCTCACTTTCTCTCTCAATGCTTTACTTGCTTTTGTAAAATATGGAAAAGAGGTTTGCTTTACGGTTTTTAAGTTAGACACTCCTCGCTTCTTAGAGGATTTTCTTTGGGTCTCAGAATTGACCAAGGAGGTGCTATTGTTGAGATTATTTACTTGCGGTAGATCTGAGAAAGAGGAGACACTTTTAGATTCCAAGAAGTTGGTTGCTTATTCATGTTGTTTGAGTTGGTTACTTCTTTACCTGGGGGTTTTTCTTTTAGCTCTTAAAAATGGCTGTTGTTGAGGGGCGGGGAAGAAAAAAAGAAGAATGACTGTTGGTGATACCAAAGACTAGAGTATAGATCCGATGTAACAATATGCTTCTGTTTTCTAGCGTGATATTGCTTTTCACATTATATACAAACTCGATTTTTGTTTTAATCCTAAAGTATTTAAGAGGAGTTTGTTGGCAGACAGGGCAATTGCTTCTCCTTCTTGCTGGATTAAGGACCTCATCTTGTCTAGGTTATTTATTTTTTAATTACTTCAGTGCCAATTTAATCTCAGATCCTATCTTGATCTCTCTTGAGACCATTAGTGGATAATGCACTCTTGGGTGCTGGTGACTTCTGTGAGCTTTACCATTTATGATGCCTCATTTTTGACACATAAATTGATTTCTTAGTCATTATTTTCATATCAATGAATTAATTCTTTGAATATTTTTTATTTTTCATTCTGGTATACTTTTTACCATATAAAATAGTTGGCTTGTAATTGTTCTTAAAATTCCTTAGCTTATATTAATGATAAGTTTTGTGTATTACATTTTGTCAGAGCAGCTCTAATTGTATGAATAACATTCCTTTTAATCACTAATTTGTTTTGAATAATTCATCTTCTAACTAATACTGCTCCTGAGAACATCTTGACCACTAATTGTCAAATCTATCTTTTTTGAAAGTTGACCCTCTCTGGGACAATGATAGTTTTATCCTATATATGTCAAGTAAGTTCATCAGTTATAATAAAGCTACTAGACAGATGTCATGAATTTCTTGATATAAATGGTATCTGATTGGGAATTCAGCTTTGTTGCTTCCACTTGTTTGACACTAGCATCATAGTTGTCATGAATTTCTTGATAACATTAATACCTTATATAAAATGGAGAAACCTTATACAAAATGGGTTCTCCAGTACCTAATGAAGAACCCCGTAAACTCTTTTTAATAATTTCCTAAGACGGATAGAAAATATACGGTCTTTCTTCTTCTTTATGAATCTATTATATACCTCCTAATAGCTTTCATAATTATCTCCATATTATAAAAACATGAAACCAAATTCATCCATGAGGAACTTTTCTTAAAAAAAATTTTCATCTTAATTTATATATTGTCACCGTCTGAGGGGTTGGGATGATACATAAGTTTATTACTCAACAACAAGTGAAATTCTAAATCTTGTCATTAACTTTTTTTTTCTCTTCTGGGTAAAATTTTCACTTATTAGACACTTCTTTCATCTTTCTTGTTGAGCAAATTAGTTAGTAAAACGATTCCAACATCTTGTAAACATTCGAGATGCACATTTCACCACACTGTTTTACTTCCATTGTTCCTAAATTTTCTTCTTATGCCCTATCGTTTCTTTTGGTCCAGCTATCATTCCATTCTTGTTTATCCTATATATTAATTTGTATGTCTTGAAATATAAATATTTATGTTTGATTTATTTCTATCCCTACCTTGAATTTCTTGGGTGGTTTCATTTTTGCACTGAATTAGAAATTCAACCAACAAAGAATTCAGGCACTGGTGGGATTTGCCTTGAATAAGTCAACATGAAAATCATATTGTTTTTCCTTCAAAGTGCAGGACTTGCCTAGAAATGAAATGTGATTGAACTAAATGGATTGTTTTGTGCATTTGTATTTTACTTTTTAGTTATTGTATGGTTGGTAATTTTACCTAGGTTTAGGTTTTGCTTAGTTGAAATGATGGTTCATGTGTGGTTGCATATTATGTATTGATTATTGCCTCTCCATTTTTTGTGAATGATATCCCCTCTCTGTTTCTTGCTAAACTTTGCTGTTCTTCTGGTTCTTTTAAATCTTTATCTTTTGAAGGGGCTAAGTGTGTGGGGTGATTATAATATAGCAGCTTGTTTCATGCTTTATGATTATAGAGACAATATTTCTGTTTTAAAATTCTTGATGCATGCTCCCAAAAAGAGTGGGTTTTGAGAACCTTATTGATATTTTTTATTTGAAAACTTATAAAGGCTTTCTTGCCAAATCATCCTATTGTATTTCGATTTTCATTGTACTATGATGCATTAAATATTTCTTTGGCTTATAATGACAGGCCACACGAGGAAGTACTGCCTCAAAAAGTGGAGTCACAAAAGTTTCTAAACAAGTCGCCATGGCTTTCATAAAGAGGACTCTTGCCCGATGTCATAAATTTGAAGAAACAGGCAAAAGTTGCTTTTCTGATCCTGCAATTCGAGATGTTCTCTTTGCTGTACCTGCTTGGGGAAATGATGCTGAATATGCTAGCTGCTTTGGTTCTGCAGCTGGCATAAATATGCAACCAGAACGTCGTAACTCTTTATCAGAGTCTGGACTATCAGGTTTGCTATTTTTCTGTAATTGTTTCTTGATCTTGAAGAATGTATGTATTGGCATAATATTGCTCATTCTACACTGTTTTGCCTATTTGTGCAACCAGAATGTCATAATTCTCAATTAGTCTGGGCGCTCAGGTTTCTATTTTTCTGTAATTGTTTCATTATCTTGAAGAATTTATCTTTTTTTTTTTCAATATAAACTGTGAAGTATATTACTATATGCACGAAAAGGGTGCCCCCCATGTGCAAAAATTTACATGTCAATCAAAATTACTCATAAGGTTGTTAATTTCTCCATAGAACAAATAGGATGACTCCGTAAAAAAAAAAATTATAGTCTGGAACTATCTATTTTTAAGTATATCAAAACCATCAGTATCCTCAACCCCATCAAATGGTCTCCTATTTCTCTCATTTCATACCACCCAAATTATGGTTCGAGGAATAATCTCCACCTGCTTCATTTGGCCACTGATGCCCTTCTAAGCCCAAATTTCTTCCCTCTCCGAACCTGTTATGACCCAACTGATTCCAAGCAGTCCAAAAACCATGAGACATGCTGCCAAAAGGCAAAAACTATGTAGAATGAGCACATATTATGTCAATAGATAAATATTTCATGACCTTACTTGAACAGGATCTTGAAGAATTTATCTATTGACATGATATGTGCCAAGCAGCAAAACAGAAGTATTTGAGACATGCTGCCAAAAGGCAAAAACGATGTAGAATGAACACATATTATGTCAATTGGTAAATTCTTCTTGACCTTACTTGAGCAGGATCTTGAAGAATTTATCTATTGACATAGTATGTGCTCATTCTATATCATTTTTGCCTTTTGGCATCATATCTCGTATATTTCTGTTTTGCTAGATAACAAGAGAGAAAGGTATTAATTGGGGTTGTTCTTCTGCTCTTTTTGGTTTGATAAGTATTCAGTTCATCTAAAACAGACACAATTCTGCAGAGGAAAAAAAAAACAGAAACACAAGATTGTTTTGCACTCGTTTCTGATGTCCAAAAGATTACTTTATTATTCTTCAATCTGAAAAATCTGCAAGATTTTTGCTAATTTTCCTAGAAATATTTAAAATGAGAATATAAACTAAGAACACGAAATAATTCCCTGCAACTGAACAGTCTCTAAATGGTTACTCGTGCATCTCTACAGAAGAGGGCTCAGTACAGGTCTTTTATTGGTTAGATGCTGTATATCTTGCCCTGGTTTTTGGGGGATTATCTTGTCCTCCATTATGTAACCTTCTATTTCTTGTGAAGAAAAGCAAACTCTCTTTATTTTTATTTTTTTGACATTACAGCTATCTTTTGAACAAATCAAGAATTTTTCTAGAACTCATTTGGAAATCCACTTCTAGTTTAATCAGGAGATGGTGAAAGTTCCATTTAAAATGAAAAGCTTGTGCTCATAGCAGTCCATTCCAAATAAATAATCAAATTCTAGATTCTATCAATGGATTTCAAATAATTCCCTATGACTTTAATTTTGATAGTCTTATAATAAATTTTTCATCCCTCTTAGTTCACTTAAGTATAAATTCATTACAAAAATCCTAAAAAGAATCTTAATTTGGTCCAAACATAGCCTACATAAAATATCTGCATCAAACATTATGTTTTGCTTCTCAGCTTATCCATGTCTACTAAATGATATTTTACCTTTGCAGTTCCTGTTGCTGGTAGGGCTGCGCAACACGATATCTTTAATGATAAAGTTGGCAGGAGTTCCTTCTACACTTTTGGAACTCTTGGTCATGCTTCTGACCAGGAGTTTGCCAAAACTGGTCCAATATTGAACAAAGGGAAGAAGAAGGAAGTCCTGCTTGATGACGTTGGTGGCACTACTAATATGAGAATGACGTCGTCTCTTGGTAATACTCTTTCAGGTGGGACTAAAGGAAAGAGAAGTGAGAGAGAAAGAGAGAAAGATTCTTCAGTTAAAAATTCTGTTGCCAAAAGTGGCCGTGTCACACTTGTTAATTTTAAAGGAGAGCGTAAAACCAAATCAAAGCCCAAGCAGAAGGCAGCTCAACTAACAAGTTCAGGAAATGGATTTGTTAACAAGCTTACAAAAACAACTGATTCTGTATATTCTTCAGCTAGTGGTTCTGGAGGTGTCGGAACCAATAGTAGTGACAAGAAAAGAGAAGTAGGATTTCATGATGACGTACGTCTTGATTCTTCTCAAGAATGCAAGGAACCCATAGAATTGCAGCTCCAGGATTTTGATTCCATAGGACTAGGGGGTGATTGGTTTAATTTTGATGATGATGGTCTGCAAGACCATGAGGATGGATTACAAGATATTGACTTGATGGGTCTTGAGATACCTATGGATGACCTGTCAGAGTTAAATATGTTCTAATGAAGACAGCATACTGTACATTCTCATGGTAATCCAACTATTTAGGTAAGAGTGATAGTGCTGTCGTCCAGGGGAAAATTGCTAATATAAGTTAACCCCTTGGTGTTTTGGCACTTGTAATTATGGCCATTCTTTCTGTATACTTCTCTGAGGAAGTTAATGAATTTAAAAAGAGTCATTGTTTATGTAATCCAGACAATTTCTTTAGTTGGAAGAAATTCAATTTTCACAAAGAGCTTTTTTTTCCTTTCTTCCTTTCATCACCATTTTGCTCCTTGCTCTATATGCCTTTGCAATTAACTCAAATAATTGGCATCTGAATCTGATTGTTCATGCAAACTGCTTTCTTATTCTTTCCTACAATCTCAAGGTCTCTGTGCCACTATCAGAAGCTCCTCATTTATCTGTGCGCTACATGCTTTACTCATGAGTATAGTGCGGTGTATGCTCCTTACAGTTGCAGGGTATGTTTAATATCTCATTTGACTTGCTATGTTCTCTTGCAAATAATGGATTTTTGTCAATGACTAGTAATAATGGTATGTTCATATTTTTTCAGTGTCACTATCTTTATCTCATTGGATGTAAAAATTTCTTACGTTCAATTTTATCTTATTATGAATTCAGGAGATGTGTGCAGCATTTACAATGTAAAGAAGATGGCAGGTTTGGACTTCCTTTGTTCTCAACAGGTAAACTCTTGCTTGTTGTTAGTATGCTCGCCACTAGTTTTAGCTTCTACATGTTAGATAATGTTTATGCATAGGCTATTTCCTTAATGGATTTATATGGTACAACCAGCCAACTCAGCTGGCACAGGGTCATTTGGATTTTTTATTTTCCCATGAACAAGCTCGGTCATGTGTGACCTATCTTCTGATTGTTTTATTTTGAAGCCTGCATCAGCTTTTCTTTTTCATTTTTATGAAACATTTCAAAATTGACTGAAGCTTTAAAAGTATGTACTTAAAGTATGCGATACCTCTAAATTATGATAAGATCCCCACGCCATGACTGAGTAGTGAGGTCTTCTTGAATCTGTCCAAGTAAGAGTTTTTCTGGAGCTGCTGAAGAGAATTATTGGAGCTGGGTAATGCTG